TAGTCCTTGATTTTGTAGGCTCATCACTGCAATCTCTGCCTGTCATCATGTGGCTGCCTTCCTGTGTGTCCCTGTCTTCTCTAGACACCAGTCATTGGATTAGGAACCCACCTTGAACACTACATCTCCAAACACTGTATTTCCAAATAAGGTCATACTCATTCACAGGTTCCAGATGTTAGGACTTTTTAGAGGACATACTTTAGCCCATAATAGTATCTTGATGATGTTGTCCTACTATCTCTGAAAATGGATTGCCAATTTATTCACTTATTTCACTCTTAGAAATGGAGTCCCCTACGATATCTTCTAATGTTTTTTATATGAATGAAGCTTTTTGAGTTTTGCATGTTGATTTATAGCTTGCCATGTTAAATGATCCAACTATTTGTAGTAAAATGAATGTATACAACTGTAGGGTTGAAGTATCTTATTGTTGCAAAATATTATTTTGCTTTCTGCATTGCAGTTGTAAAATCTCTCTTCCTTTCTTTTCTCTAATTGCACTTGCAGATACCGTCAACACAATGTTTAACATTAGTGAAGATATTGGGCAAACTTTCTTTTTTCCAGACTTCATATTTTTTCATGACGATGCTAGATGTTGCAATAAGGTGTGTGGGTGTGTGCATGTGTCTGTATGTAAAATATTTGTATGGTGAGCATTGCTATACTTTTCATTGTCAGAGTTGGAGAACTATGTTATATTCATCACAAAAAGGAAATTTGAATATTTTTTCTTTTTCTGTGATCTAGAACAATTAGCATCTGATATAAAAGTATTTCTTAACAATAAGTTATTATAAAACCACCTGGGCCTGATGCTGTTACTTGGGGTAGCTCTTTAACTACTTTCTCTGTTTTCTGTTGTCATTCCTCCATTCAAAATTTTGTCTCTATCAGAGTCAATTTTGGAAGGTATTTTTGTATAAAAATAGCAATTTCTTCCATTACCAACTTTATTTGAATGGAATTGCATAAAATATGAAAATATATTCCATCTTAACAATATTAAGTCTTCCAATGCATCTGAACATAGAGTGGTTTTCAACTTATATAGGTCTTATTTAATTACATTCAACATTATTTTTGAGTTTTGGTATATACACCTTATACATCTTTAATTAAATTTAAGTATTATTTTGGTGCTCAGGTGAATAGAATTGTTTTCTTAGCTGCATTTCTTATTCATTCTTAGAGCATAGAAATAGATTTTTGTATATGGATCTCATATCCTGCAATTTTGCTAAATTCATTGATTAGTTCTGGGATTATTTTTTATTCTTCAAGATTTTCTTTTATTTTCTTTCCTTTTTTTTTTTTTTGTTACGTTAGAGAGAGTATATGAGTGGGGAGAGGGGCAGGGGGAAAAGATAGAGAGAAAGAGAGAGAGAGGATCTTAAGTAGGCTCCACGCCGATGCAGAGCTTGACATGGACTTGGATTCCACAACCCTGGGATCATGACTTCTCTGAAATCAAGAGTCAGTGCTTAGCTGACTGATCCACCCTGGTGTCCCTATTATTTAAGACTTCCTATAAATAACATCATGTCATCTGTGAATACAGATAATTTTGCTTTTTCCTCTCCAATTTGAATGCCTTTTATTTCTCTTTTGCCTAACTGCTGTGTCTAGAACCTCCAGGTCAGAATGGATATCTTGCTTTCTTCCTAATTGTAAAAAGAAATAATTCACCTTTTCACCATTAAATATAATGTTAGCTATGGATTTTTCATAGATAACAATCAGGGTGAGGACTTTCCTTCACTCTCATATTTTTAAAGTGTTTTTTACAATTGAGGGTATTAGATTTTGACAAATGCTTTTTCTACTATATTGTCCTTTATTCTATTAATTGGGTGATTGCACTGATATTCATGTATTAAACCAATCTTACGTTCCAGCAAAAAAAATTCCACTTGCTCATGGTAAATAATCCTTTTAATATGTTGGTGAATTGGGTTTGCTATTATTTTGTTGAGCCTTTTTGCATTTATATTCATAAGGAATATTGGTCTGTAGTTTTCCTGTGAACATTTTGTCTAGTTTTGATGTCAGTGTAACACTAATTACAAAGTAAGTTAGGAAATGTTAACCTTTTCTAATTTTTGGAAAACTTTAGGTAAGACTGGTGTTAATTTTTTAAAAACTTTTTGATAGAATTCACCCATGAAGCTATTTGGGTGTTGGATTTTATTGTGGGAAGTTTTTGTATTAATGTTCTTTTGCTGCTATGATCACAAATTTAGTGGCTATAAAACCACAACTTTGTTACCTTACAGTCTGTATATTAGAAATCCAGCACAGGTTTTGCAGAGTTACAATCAAGGTGTTGCCAGTGCTGCTCCCCTTCTACCAGCACTGGAGGTTCTGGGAATTCAGAATTCATTTCCTTGTCTTTTCCAGCTTCCAGAGGGCACCTGCATTCCTTGGCTCCTGGCCCTCTTCATCCATCTTCAAGACGAGCAAAATTGTACGTTTCTGATTATTCTTCCATAGTCACATCTTGCTGTAACTCCAACTCAGCTGGAAATGTTCTTTTTTTTTTTGTTTTGTTTTGTTTTTGTTTTTGCATTTAAGGACCTGCATAACGCGATTAGAAACCACTGATTGGTGGAATAATCTTCCCATCTCAAATTCCTTAACTTAATCATGCATGCAAAGTCTCTTTTTTCCATGTAGCACAACATATTTACAGGCTGCAGCATTTAAGACATGGGAATTTTGGGGGGGTGGTGCATAATTCTGCCTACCACATTTTAAAATTATTTAATTTCTTTAAATGTTATAGGTCTATTCAGATTTTCTATGTATTTCTGAATCTGGGTAATTTTTGTCTTTCTAGAAATTTGTACATTTGATATAGATTATCTAATTTTTTGACATTTCATGTTATTTTATGATAGTTTTAAAATCTTTGAGATTGGTGATGATGCCCTCTCTTTCATTTCTATTTTAATAAATTGAGTCTTATCCCTGCCTCCATCCTTCTCTCTCACTTGTTTTTTCTCTCTCATAAAATTTCTTGAGCAGTCAATCTGAAACCTTATGAATTTTGGTGATCTTTAAAAAAAAACTTCTGTCTTCATTGAATCTCTCTATTGTTTTTCTACCTCTATTTCTTGTATTTATATTCTGATCTTTATTGTTTCCTTTGTTTTTCTTGATATAGGTTTAGCTTGCTTTTCTTTTAGTTCTTAATGTGTTATGCCCAGATCACGATCTCCCCAAAATCCCAAGACCACCAAGGAGTCCGAGTCACGTATGCAAAAGCAAAGGGCTTTATTACGGGCTTAAACTTGGACTCCCAGACTTCACCAGCGTATGGATCTGTGCTGAGAGCCTTGAACAAGGGCAGAGTAGGGTTTTTATGGGGTTTGAGACGGGGGAGTTACAGAAGTTGTGACATGGGAACAGTGATCCAATCATAATTATTCAACATCATTGACAGCGGGTTTGACCATACACATTGTCTAGAGTGTTCGTTACTTTTGGCGAGATCCAGTTACAACATTTAGAGTACCTTTTAAATTCAACCAATCACAGGGCAAGCCTAGGGTCTTGTTCGGGACTAACAGGTTAACTTTAACTTTAGGTAACAGAGTCCTATCTATAGTTTCTATCTCCAGGCCTCTCCCTTAGTAATGTGGAGGGTGGTCGCTGGACTTTCCTGATTGGGTGTTGCAAGGGTGGTTTCTCCTGCCTTGGGCAATGTGTAACTGCCTGATAGTTTCGGGGAAGCTGAAACTCAGGCCTTCTAGTTCAGAGGGGAAACTTAAAGCCTGTCATGGAGTCAGTTTGGTTTAGGCGTTTAGACTTGTGGCCTTACAAATGAAGTTTAGGTTAACAATTTGAGATATTTTCTTTCTTTTAAGGTAGAGATTTATAGCCACAATTTCCCTTCAGGAAATATTTCAGTTGATATAAAAACGAAAAAACCAAAACCAAAACCAAAACCAAACCAAACCAAACAAAACCAAACAAAACAAAACCACATGGTTTTATTACTGTTGTTTTGTTTTATGGTGGAAAATTTTGTATTTAGATTTAGTCAGCTGGATGCTCCTGGGAGCCGCACATGCCTCACTGGATGACAGTCACAGCGAGGAAATGGTAGCGATTGCACAGCTCCTGCCATGAGAAATGAAAACTGGTATCTCCTTCTGCTACTACTGGCTCATGTTGGAAATGAGCCTGCTGGTATTGACCAGGCCTCACAATATTCCAGATCAGACCGATATTCCCCAGACAGATTGCTCATAAGGAAAAGCATTCCCCTGCCTTTTCCAAAGAGATTTCAGATGAAAACATTGTGGATGATTGTTAAAAGGCTCTTCCTAAGGGCCTTTCACATCCAAGACTTACATAATGAAAGGGGCTTGAGTCTGGCCCTGAGACAAAGAGCCTAATTTAGAGTTAAGGGCAAATATCCACCCCCACCCATTTGTTTCTGCTTGGAGCATTTTCTGGCCTTGTATATGCTGATTGTTCCCTGTGAAGGAAACTATTGAGGAACTTCTTCTTTTGTGATTATGACTGCAGAGGTGTTCCCTGAAAGACCTGTTTTTCTTGATACTTCCATCTTAAACAAACAAGCTATTGACCCCTTCCCACAGAGAAGTAACTTCACCCTTTTTATGCTGAAAACTTTGTCTGGTATGCTAAAGACGCCTTCCTTCCCCATAGGATAGGCATCTAAATCACCTACCTCAATCACCATTGTAAACATTATGCTTGAGTCTTCTACAAATCTATGTTCTGGGAAATTCTTACATATCAAAGAAGTTTGTTATCAGAAATCATTGTCTAAGGCAAATGCCACTTCTGTGCAGTCCCCCAAACACTTAATGATAAAATAAAGTTGAGCCCCAGTCAGAGCAGAGATACCTGCCTGGTGATCAGAAAGAATCTCGGGGCTCTCTCACTGTCTCTCTCGCTGACACTGTCCATCCTTCAGGGACCCCTGGACCTGCCAGAGCCAGCCTCCCGCAGGATGCAGTTTAAATGATCTTGATTTTGTTGGCAAGATCTGACTCATCATGGTGAGAAGCCAGTGAAACATATGCCTTCTTTCCATTGGGCCTTATCAGGGTGTTGACTTTGTCCTTGTCAATCTCATAGAGCTTCTTCACAGCCTGTTTGACTTGATGTTTCTTGGCCATGACATCCAGAGTGAACACAAGTGTATTGTCTTCTGTTTTTTTCATGGCTGACTCGGTAGTCAATGGGATCTTGATTACAGCATAACAGTCAAATTTGTTTCTCCTGGGGGTGCTCTTTTGAGGATATTTGGACTGCCTTCTGAAATGCAGTGTCTTGGGCCATGGGAAGGTGAGTGATGCATGAATTTGTATTCACTTATTTATTTATTTTTGGTGACTATGGAGTCCTTTTAGCACCACTTTCTTGACCTTCAAAACTTTAACTTTGGCTTTGGCTTTGGGAGAGGTAGAGACCTTCTTTGCTTTGGGACCATCTTCATGAAAGGGATTTCAAATATCATAAGTTTTAATGTATTTTTGTTTTTAGTCATAGCAAAATGTTACCTAATTTCCCTTGTGATTTCTTCTTTGACCTATTTGTTATCTTTAAGTGTGTTAATTTTTAGTATTTGTGAACTCTACAATTTCCTTCTCTTATTAATATATAATTATACTGTTGTCAGAAAAGATATTTTGTATGATTTCAATCCTTTGAAATTTCTTGAGTCTTATTTTATGTACTAGCATAGGATCTATCCTAGAGAATGTTCCATGTACACCTGAAAAGAATGTGTATTCTAGTGCTCTTGAGTGGATGTCTTATTTTTAGTTGGTTTATAGTGTTGTTCAAATTTTCTATTTTCTTATTGTCAAGTGTTAATCTTATGGAGGATCCATTTGTTGTGACAAGTCACATATGACAAAGATCACTGTTTTTGCTGAGATTCAGCCATTTCCCTTAAATGAGTGGTCCTGGAATTATGCAATCTTTTGTTAATTTCTAGAGTTGTGAAAGTGTTTCTTTTCATAATTTTTTCAGTGTTCTTCCTTGTTAATGGAGGAGTGTGTGTGTGTGTGTGTGTGTGTGTGTGTGTAAATACTTCTTTTGGACATTGTCTATTTCTTTCTTACTGTCACCAATATTGAGTCTTGGCCAGTCCCTTGTTGCTTGGCCTTATTTTTGTCCTGGCCTGTCCCTTGTCCTTTACTATCTTCATGACTTTAGCAAATTCTCAAGTTCTGTTTCAGAATCTCTATTTGTAAAAGGGGTACATTAATACCCACTCATATAACTCTTGTGAAGACAGTACATCAAAATTAATAAAGTACCTGAATGGAGTTCATGCCATGGAAATGATGCTTTTAGATGTCACTAGTTAAATGGATTCCTCTCTTTCCCATTAGAGGGATGATACAGAAGTTTCTTTCTGTCCATATTTCCAGACTACTCAGATGGTTCAGTGATGCTTATTTCAGTGTATAGTGAAAGGCACATGTGGTGGTTGATCTTTTTCTCACACTTGTGAAATCTTGTGCTGAATCACTGGTTATGTTTAGGTGGATATTTACTTGTCCCATTCACTGTGGAAGCTACTGATGACACAGTTGTGAGAATTTACAGGTTTTACCAAATGGAAAACAATTTATTGATTTTTATTCAGGATTCACAGTTTTTTTAAGTGCATTCCGCTTTCTATGATTTCTTTTATTTGTCAGAACATTTTGGCAGTTGGAAATAATCTGCTAATATTCATTCCTAAATTACCTTATATGTCTGGTAGATTAGCTTTGGTCTTTTATAATTAAGGTTTGTCAGGATTCTTGTTACACATGCAAAACTTGATCATTTGTAATTTTCAGTGACAGTTCCCCCCTTCCTATTTTCCTACTCTCCCTTAAGTATAAAGTTTACAATAGGGAATTCTGTCTTTCATTGTAGAAGTCAGAGCAACTCCATCAACTCTCTTGTAGAAAGAATATATGCACTTGATTTGGACTTGCTTTCCAGAACATTTATGTCTGGAATTCAATTTGTAGCAGCTGAGGCAAAATCAAACTGCTGGTTAAAATCTGTCCATTTGTGGACTCAGCAGCAGTTTGCCGAGTGGTGGTGGAAGCATTGTTTTGGGTAATTATTGGTTTGGGCCTTCTAGAACTGCTTCAGTTTCTGCTCATTTTCCAAAATGTTTCTTTTTCATTAACATAGCTATAATTGGTCCCTATTTCATAGAACTAAGAATCCTATTAGATCACAAGATTTGCATAATCTGGCCCAACCTTCTTGGTAGCTTCATCATTTTGCCTGCTGTTCTAGCTGAAGTACTCTGCCTCAGCCACACTGAACTTCATGCTATTGTTGTAAGTGGTAAGTTCACAGTTTTGAATTACATCTGTATTAGTTTTATGTTATTAACAACAAATTACCATAAATTTAATGGTTTAACCAATGATCTTTTTTATTACAGTTCTGTAGTCAAAGGTCTGATCCAGATATTACTGCACTAAAAGATCTAAATAAAACAAAGATGTTAAGAGGGTTCTTCTCCTTTCTTGAGGCTCTGAGGAATGATCTATTTCCTTGTTCGTTTGAATTACTGGGAGGATTCAGTCTCTAGTGATTGTAGGATTGAGGTCCCTGTTTTCCTACTGGCTATAAACTGAAGGTCATTCTCATCTTCTACAAGGTCACAGAATTCTTTGGTTAATAGTCCCCCCGTCCATCTTCAAAGCCAGTTATGGCAGGTCAAGTAATTGTCATGTGTCATCTTTCTGAGTTATCTTACATCATTATCTCTTTCTTTGACCACAGCCAGAAAAGAGTCTTTTAGTCTGTTACGACTATGTGATTCTATGTACATGTAATACAGGATAATCTCCTCATTATCAAAGGCCATATTCTTAATTACATCTGCACAGTCCCTTTTGCCATATAAGTTAACATATTCACAAAGCTCTAGGCATTAGGTGATGGATTTTGAGGGACCATTATTCTACCTAGTACAGTCCACTCTTTGGCCTCAAAAGATTCACATTTTTCCCATGTATGAAATACATACAAATCCAACCCAATATCCCCCCAAAGTCTTAATGCATTGTAGCATCAACTCTAAGCCCAAAGTCTTACCTAAACCTTATAAGCTGAAAAATCTCAAATAATCATTATCTATATCATCCAAATTAGGTATATGTGAGGCTATGATAATCTATCTTTGGCATATTTTCTTCCCATCTGTGGACATGTGAAACTAAAGAACAAATTATCTGCTCCCATAATATATGGTGGGACAGGTATAGCATAATATTTACAGATATCCTAGTTCAAAAAGGGATAAATTGAAAGAGGAAGCAGTCACCAGTCCCAAGAAATTTTGAAACTCAGTCTGGCAAACTCCATTAAATTGCAAGACCTGGGGATAATCCTTGATAGTTTGTGGCTCTATCCTCTAGGCTCTACCCTCTGAGTCATTCTTATTTCTTTCATTAAAGACAGCAAGTATTGGCAGCTGAGTGTTTTATCAGCCTGTTTCCTGCCCTTAGTATTTGGAAGGGAGGGTGGTGTGGTACACAGATATGGCCTTCTCTTGTTTGGTACTTCTTGTCCCTGATGCTCCAAGCTGGTGGTGTCTCTGCTTGTATAAAGTACTTAAGAACCTTGTGAGTGTCCTGTATATGCCACTGAGATTTATGTCATTAGCAGGAGGATTATCCATAGATCATTCCTAGATAACCTTATCCCTATTTTTGGCTTTTGCTGAGATGGGTGAAGGATAATGCCCTTAAGCTGCCCAGATCCTTTCCTAGGTTTAAATGAGATCTGTGATCCAGACTTTTAGTCTGTTCAAAGAGCCTTTCGTGTAAAGGCTCCTTGATCTTTCTGAGGCAAAAGGTTGTAAAGACACACCCCTGGGTTTTTTTGTTTTGTTTCTGTTTTTGCTTTTTTGTTTGTTTTGTTTTGTTTATTTTTGTCTAGAGCATGCTTCCCAATAGTGAATCTCTTAATTTTAGCATTTTTTTTGCAATCCAGATACTCTGAAAATGTCTCGAATCCTGAAGTTCTTGTTCCTATTCATTTAACATCACCCCCACAAATTCTCACATTTTTACTAAAAGCCTCAAGAAAATCATCTAACACTTGCTTAGACATTACCTCAGCTAAATATCCAAGTTCAAAAATTGTTTTCCATGTAACTGCAGGACACTAAGCTTTCTGCCACTGTATAACAAAGGATCACCTTTCCTCTAGTTTCTAGAAACATGCTTCTCATTTCCTTCTAAGCCAGCACTGGAATTACCTTCTGGGTTGATATTTCTAACAGTTCATTCATGATGATTCGTATATTCCCTAAGGCAATTTAGATTTCCCCTACAATGCTCCTTACTTCAAGGCTTCAACAATGGTGTCCTCAATATCCATATTTCTTACAACAGTCTGTTCAAATCACTCTAGACATTTTCTGTCATGCTCCTCATGACAGATGAATGAGAAAAGAAATATTAACAAATAATACATTTAAAAAAATAGCAAGTACCATAAGCTTCTGAAAATCCAGAAAATTAACATACTAATTTTGTTAACGAACTGCCTTAAAAGCCCCCTGTAATTCTTTCCTTCCCCACCTACTCTGCAGTTATCTCCTCATATTCCAATAATTGTATTGTATATCAATTATATTGGAGAAAAGAAAAAGATAATTTGGTTATTTCTCTAACATCAGTGATTGTTTTTTTTCTTGTATTGATATGTTTGAAATCCTTCTTTATGTCTTAGAACTTGTAATTGGAAATGTCTTATAATTGGAAATGCCATGTACAATGTTAAAACTATTGTAAGTTGGTAAAAGTTTTTTCAAGTATTTTCTTATCCGAATTGTAAGATTTCAGGGCATACAGTTTTCCCTTGTATTTTCTAATTTTTTAATTAATTTTATTTATCTTTTTAATGTTTTTTTTAAAATTTATTTCTAGGAGAGAGAGAGAGAGAGAGAGAGAGACAGTGTGAGCAGGGGAGGGTCAGAGAGAGAGGGAGTCACAGACTCTGAAATAGGCTCCAGGCTCTGAGCTGGCAGTCAGCACAGAGCCCGACGCGGGGCTCAAGCCCACGAACCATGAGATCATGACCTAAGCGAAAGTTGGACGCTTAACCACTAAGCCACCCAGGCGCCCCTGTATTTTCTAATTTTTTAAACAGTTTATTGTCAAGTTATATAGTTCCATATAACACCCAGTGCTCATTCCCACAGGTGCCCTCCTCCATGCCCATCACCCCCCTTCCCTTCATTGAATGTGTGGATTGCTTTGGGTAGTAATGACATTTTAACAATATTTATTTTTCTAATCCATGAGTATGGAATGTTTTTCCATTTCTTTGTGTCTTCTTCAATTTCCTTCATAAGTTTTCTATAGTTTTTATCATACAGATCTCTTATATCTGTGGTTAAGTTTAATCCGAAGTATTTTATGGTTTTTTTTGTGCGATTGTGAGTGGGATCAGTTTCTTGATTTCTCTTTCTGTTGCTTCATTATTGGTGTATAAAAATGCAACCAATTTCTGTATGTTGATTTTGTATCCTGCAACTTTGCCAAATTCATGGATCAGCTCTAATAGGCTTCTGGTGGAGACTGTCAGGTTTTCTATGTCGAGTATCACATGCAGTTTTCCCTTATATTTTCTAATCTTAATTTTTTTTTTACTTAATGATTTTTATTTATATCTGAGAGAGAGAGAGAGAGAAAGAGAGAGAGACAGTGTGAGCAGAGGAAGGTCAGAGAGAGAGGAAGACAGAATCTGAAACAGGCTCTAGGCTCTGAGCTAGCTCTGCGCTGAGCCTGATGTGGGGCTTGAACCCATGAACCATGAGACCATGACCTGAGCCAAAGTCGGACACTTAACCAACTGAGCCACCCAGGTGCTCCTATTTTGTAATCTTAAATAACATTTGAATTGTTTGTGGCCATTAATCAGTTTGTCATTGATTCATTACTGCTCTATATTATGGGGATTGTTTTATTGTTAATGTCACTATTTTGTTTCAACTGAGAAATAAAGTTAAATATATTTCCAATATTTTAATATTATTTCACTTCTCTTCATTAATTGTGATTAAATTGTGAAAAAATTGTGATAAAAAAATACAATAGCCTTTTAAACCTAACGACCATTGATTTAATGGTGAATATATTTATATAGGAGCTTTATCGTTGAAGAATATATTTTTTAGGTCATTTCAGTTTCAAGATGTCATTTTTGTAAATCATTTCAAGGAACGGCAGTCTTCATAACAAGATGCAACAGATATACTAAGATATGACCTCATATACTGGAATGCATAAAATATGTGACTTCATACATAGACAAAACTCTCTCTTTTTAGTACTTCTACAGATGCATTAATTCTGATAAATTTTATTTTGTATCCTCATAAATATTTGTTGTGATCATAATTGTATAAACCACATCACTGAATGTAAGTAGAAGAGAACTTCTGTTTTGATTAGCTGGCAATAAATGTGGAACCTTTTACCAACAGTCTCACATACATAATTAGTAGAAGTTTCCCACAGACTAAAATCTGGTTCAGTACATTTCAATCCCTTTTCTCCTTTCTTACTCATACTTTTATTTCTGGATGCCATAGAATATGTGCATTTGCACTCCCACCCTAGCTCTGCACCTTAATGTCACAATGCCAGATGAATCATCGCATCAGTAGCTGGAGTCTAAGAGAAAGTCTAGCAATAACTTAACTATACATGGACATGATACGTATATATACTATGCGACTCAACCTAATTATATTCTCAATTTAAATGATCTTAAAAGTTGAATCCCAAAAGTACCTGTGCCCATTCCAACACCACCAAGTAGGAGGAGAATTATGATTGAGGGAAATATAAAGAGAAATAGTAGTCAGCTCATCTTCATTAAACTATTTCACTTTGGCAAATTATACAGAAAGATATGAACATGTAAACATATTTTTAGGACCTCTTCCAGGTCTTGGAATGGGCACAAGCAAATAAGGGACCATAAAGCTTCAAGGAAAATTCCCTCTTCTGGGAAAACTGATCCATCCTAGGTCTTCTGTTATTCAGTTGATGGTGATTCCATTTTTCCAGTAACTCGGTCTGAAGAATTTGAATTAATTTTGACTTAGGTCTTTCATTCAATTTCTATATTTATCAGTAAATCCTTCAAAATATACTCAAGACTCCAAACATTTCTTCCCATCCCACTCTATCACTGTGACCTGAGCTGCCATCAATGTGCATTTATGTTATTTTAATAACTTCCTAATTCAACTATCTTATTTTGCTCCTACTGCCTTTCAGTCTACTCTCAACATGGCATTTCAGGTGCTGTACCTAAAATTCAATTATATGTAAGTCAGGGTGCTTAGCACCCTTCCATGGGATTCTTTCTTAAAGTAAGTGCCAAAGTCATTATTGTCACCTATAAGGCCTCCTTTATCTGATTCCCTTAGTTCTTGACGTCATCCCCCATTACTCTTTCCCTCCCCTCTGCTGCCACAGCCATGCTGGCCTCTTCACTTCCTCATGCATTCCAGGAACTCTTATAGCTTGTGGTCTAAGCCTTCCTGGTTCCTATTGCCTGAAGTGACTGTGTCCAGATATTCGCAAGGCTTATTTTCTCACTTCCTTTAGGTCTTTACTCAAAAGTTACTTTAGTACGGACTTCTCTTACCATCTTAACTATAATTTCACCCTTGTCTTCTTTTTATTTTTAAGTTTATTATTGAGAGAGAGAGAATAGAGAGAGAGGGAGCAGGGAAAAGGGGCAGAGGGAAAAGGGAGAGAACATCCCAAGCAGCTGCACTGACAGTGCAGAGCCCAATGCAGGGTTCAAACTCACTAATTGACCTGAGCCGAGATCAAG